GGAGAAGAAATGTTGGAAGCTTTAAAATCGGAGACCTGGTTTTATTCAATACTGAATATCTTCCTACACATGCAGTTTCTGCTGTCATTAAGACGAAACTTCGTCCACGGTTTATCGTATTTTTCAAGGTCGTCACCAAGGTGGGCTTTGCGTATACACTAAATCCTCCGAAACGGATGAGCACCGACCCGGTGTTTTTCGTGGGCTCAAGCCGTACTGGAATCCGGCGCAAGTGAACGCGAAAGCGTTGGTACCGAAGTGGCGCCCACATGCACTCGACCGCCTAGAAGCTAGACCACCCCGAAGCTGGGTCAGCAACTGATTTAGAGCACTGAGTGCATCGATCTCCATCTCCAGCGGTGCCAAGCGCTTCACCATTGCACGTAGTTATGCATTCGTCTGCTTGACAGCTAGGAACCGCTTTGACAGAGCGCAATAGGCTTCAATTTGAGGCAGTCGTAGCACAAAAAGGCTTAAAGCTCTCATGGTTTTCCGCACAGCGGTATGCGACCCCTGCATGATGCTCAGCAAAGTCCAGATTACGACGTATCTTGTTCTCAAGAGCTCCAAGAGCATCGCGAGTCACTGGACGGCCATCGACTTAGTCGTCATCGTCCGCCGCCGACTCTTCTCCATGCGAACGGCAGCGTACACTATCACGTGGAACGTATTGTGGGTCGACCTCGTCGATAGGGTCAAACCCAGTATCTTGTGAAGTGACGGGATACTTAGACTCCAAAAACTTGTGGAAATTCGAGGCGCCACTTCGGCAAGACTGCCCAGACGTCGTGGACGCTTACGATCAGGAGGATCATGACGTATCGCGTCGTCGTACGCCTCGCGCATCTCGGTAATACACAAGGAAGCCTAAAAGTCATGATCTGAGCTCAAGCTATGGACCCGAGCAGCTGTGGTCGCAGGCTCACTCGTGTGAGAGACCACAGAGCTCACGGAAACGTGATAGATTAATCCGTACGTCACAGGGCGACAATACGACGGAAGACGGCGTCGCGTCTTGAGTTTGGCAAACACGAACCAAAGATGGCTTTCCACTCGCACCTTCACCTCCTTGTGGGTCTGCTATAAGTTGGACAGCGAGGAAAGTTCTCGGTACCGCTGCACCCATCGTTAAAGAGCTCTTTATCATCTGCAGCGGTTTCGTCAGGGGCGAGCACCACAGCAATCGTCCGCATTACGGGTACAAGAGCGCTTCCTCTTTGAGCACGAAGTCGAGCTCGGTACCTATCCGCCAGGATTTCTTGAGGTACTAAGAAGCTAGCCAGAAGAGCTTTTAGTTTGTCAAGCTCTGGGCTCATCGACGTAGACGCCCAACGATCGGTCGGTCGCGTCCTTAGCTTCAGTTGTGGGATCAGCCGAGCGGAAGCCTTTTACCGCACGAGTGTTGAAGGACTGGTTGTGGATGCGCGCGCATGAGAGCCGCACTGTGAACAGCATCCAGCTCCTGCTCCTGTGCCTTGTCGGGGCGATTGATAAGGATTCCACTTCTCCCGAAAGTCGAGAGATCGGGAAACGGACACGGTGTCTACAATTTTTAGCAGGGCTCACGTCGCGCCGCTGGCGCACCACGCCCTCCTCTTCTTCTCATCCTGGAAAAGAAGTAGCCGCCTCGTTGTCGACTTCCTTCAAGTTCCTGACGAGATGATACGTCTCCCGTGGCGGGCGCGGTGCGCGGTGCTAGGTTAATGAAGGTTGGTATGCGCTTTTCTTGAAGCCACGGACGTGCTGTCCGAAGTTGCACCGCCTGCAAGAGACAAAGAAGGGCTCTGCCTCCGGGCGCGTTCGGAGTTAGCGAGGCTATGTGTCTTTTGTGTCATAGACACAGAACGCATTGAGCAGAAAACGAGTGAATAAAGTCCTGGGGGCGTAGAGGTGTCTTAGACTCGCGAGCTTCGTACGAGGCGACAGTTAAATGTAATTTGGTGGTGTTCACAATTTTGATGGGGGAGCGTAGCGGGGTTACACGAGCCATGGCAGGAAGGGTGTGGGTCACACAAGAGAGTTTGATTATTAAAAGATGTGGATTACACATTATGATGCGAACACACAATGGTATGCATAAACAAGAATTCAGTACGTGGCTGGAATATTAGGTTTTACTATATAGATAAAACAAATTCTAGATTTAGAAATGGGCGACTTTGCCGTAAATAAATCGAGAGATAATTTACAATTTAAGCGGAAAAATTAATTAGCCTTAGGTTAAGGTTGTATTACTCTTAGAGTAAGTGGATTGCGATCCGCTACACTCGTACTGGTAGAACGAAGGTCACCGACCTTAACCAAGCTTCCTATAAGCGAAAGAGCTACGGCAGCTCCGCTGCAGTTTTGGTCTCAGGAGATTCTTCGAACACAACCTATGTGCGCTTGTAAAATTAAGTTCTACGTGTCAAACGATTTCGCTGTGCAACAAGCTACTTTGCAGGAACGTTATGTATTCAAACCATTGAAGGAATGAGCATCACATTGGATAATGAACTAATAAGCGGATACTGATTCATGCAAAAACAGAAATGAACAGTGACAACGTTTTGTTAAGAATTTTTTGGCGGTAATGTAAAGTTTGCTATGGTAAAAAATACTTCATAGACCCATGAGTAAAGAAGGTACGCCAAAGCGGTTTCTAGGCGTCTGGTTTGTCTTTGTTGCGAAGCAATCATCAAAATAGGTAAATTGCAAGAGTTGTCTTATTCGTGGACAAGAAAAGAAGCCACCGTGCATGATCAAGAAGATATTCGAATCAAAACTCTCTGACACGGGACGAGTGATTTGCCCCGATTCTAGAAGTTTGGTGACTGAGATAAATTGATCTGGAATCCGATACATGATCAAATTTATCAATTATAATGCTCTTGCTGTTGAATATCGTCAGTCATATTCAAAAATGCGCTGCAAGCTATCCGAGCACGTTTTGGTGCCTAATAAGTAAGCATACACTATGTTCAGTCAAATCTACTTTATGGTTTTGAAGTATGCGTAATAGAAAGGCTATTAATCGAGCAACATCAATACCAAAAGAATGCGATGGGGGTTGAAGTAGAACACGATTTCTGTTTAAGATTTACTTATGATATTTTGGTAAATCGCCTTGGAAAATGCAGCGGGCATCTTCAGTATAAGCCACACTTGATATATGGAGTTCCTTGCAAAGATTTGAATTTCAAGGCACAAGCAGAGTGTAATATGTAATGCTGAGCAAGTGCAGTCACAACAGAATAATATAAGCGGCAACATAGACAAAACTAGGGGATACATTTATTCAAATAGAACTAAGAAAGTTTGGTCATTGTGCAGCAAAGGCAAGAACAGCAAAGTGCTGATTGATAAACAAATTTGCATTGACAAAACTTCAGACGATGCTGTAGGTTTAGATGAAGCAATATGACGATTACAGCCGGAAAAATGACAGTAATTTGGAAACACGATCGAACAGACATAGCGGAAGAGATGGTCCGCAATCAGGTGAGGCGATTTGTGTATCGGCGATTACGCCAGAGCTATATTGTGATGTGATCAAGGTACTCTGAAGATTCATTGGTGGTTATGATCTCAACTTGGCGCGGTTGCCATGATGCCTGAAGATTTTTTGGTGAATGAGATTTTACTTTGGCACGATGACCGTGACGCCTGTGCCGCTTAAGCAAAATCAAGCGGTTACTCTGAATTCCTTGTCGTTCTTTGTATTTCGCAACGTCAAGCATGAAAAAACACCCAAGTCGGAAGTCTGTATCGATTCGCTGCTTGTGGAGCTTGTCGCCCACAAATCGCGACTTTTCTCACCAGTGCGCAAGTTGACGGCAATTATCTTCGGCACTTTTGCCGTCAAAATGCAGGGTATATCTATGTCGACCGCTGTTACTTTACGCGCTGGTGGTACTTTTGTGAAGCTGTAACCAGTGCGTCCACTAGTTATTATAGCCGCTTGCCATGAACCCGAGGTCTTCAATGCGTTGCACGGTGGGCACGTCACTTCGCGTCACTACATCAGTTTACAGCCTTACCTACCCGTTGTGACGAGAATGAGTCGTATTTAGTGACGTTAGGGCCAAGAACTACTACTGTCGTGTGCTTAAACAGAATCTTTCCATGAAAACCGCTGCCCAAACCACTGTACATGTCTCAATAGCCGTCAACCTCGCAGCCCTCGGCTTACGACATAATTTAAGGTTTGGTCCTTGAGACTGAGACTTGTAACAATATCAACAAGAATGATAGCAGAAGACCGCGAGATACAGTCGCATGCATTTATATCAGCAGGCTTTTCAGCCTCAAGCTGTTAAACCATCCTGAAGAGATTCATGCGGCCCAAGCTATACTACATCAATAATTTCATGTTCATCGCAGCTCGTGCAACATACAAGCGCTTCTACATGCTAGCAGAGATGAATCCATGATAAATCGTAATATTAAGCTGAGTGCGCGGTCTTGCAGACAATGAACGTTCCAGCTGGGCCAAGCGTAGGAAAGGTCATTTATTGCCTACAAGTCCTAGACCAAACAGCGTTCCATGGTACCCAGGTCGTGGGAGCCTATTTAACATTTCATTTTTTGTCTTTCACTTCCTTGCGATAAGGATAGAAAGGGTTTCGTACTTGATATACGTCCGCAATTTTTCTTGCTGTTTTAAACAGCATATGCCGCCTATAGATACACGCCCTCAGCCCTAGATGAGCAATTCACGATTAAATCAAGCCTGGCAAACGTCAACAAGTCTGGGCTATAAAATTGCCTTTACTGGATAGCGTAACCTTCCTGTCCCAGAAGGCCACCTCGCTCTTTCCAAGATTTAACATTTTCTCGAGAGGGTGTATCGGCTGAATTAGCGCGGAATATCGAGTTTGTTGGTCTTATGATCAAGAGCAGAGGAAGACGCAAGGCGTGGTGATTTAATTCTTCCGCAGGTGTAGCACCTGTGGATATCGAAGCGCTTCTTGATAATTACTTGCTAAACATTTACTTCGAGGAGATCGATCGAATTTGGTATGCACAAAGCACAGAGACCTCTTGAACCCGTATAATCCCTTGCGAGAATCACAGGATTGTGTTCAGGATTGAAAACGCCTTGATCCTTTGCCGTCAATTCTAATAGTGCTTAACAGTGGCCTCACTTTATCAAGCTCTCGGAAAGAAAGCGGTAGTTCCATCGGTGTCGTATTCAAACTTTTCCGAAGGTGCTTTACCAGCGCGTTTTGATAGCTTCAGGTAAGTAGAATCCGCTTTGAACCATAAGGCGCTAGCTATACGATCTCTTTGGAATAATCATAGGTAAGAACTTGTTAGTTGTGCTGACCCGGGATTAGATGCATAAGCATTTACTGTGCCATTGTCACAGATGGTCCAGCTTTCTAGACTCAATCGTCGGAATAATGACAAGTTTCACCAAGTATAACGGGGTCACCAAGACAAGCAGCTCGAACTTCTAGAATTAAGTTATATAGCGCAAAGCGAAATCAGCTTTAACGTCGTCCACATGAAATTATCCTCTCAAGCAACCTACTACTCTAACCATTATCATTTTTAATATAATATCATATACTTTATTTCATCTGTCGTCGGATAACCTATTATATTAATGAGGCTCTCAAATCGTATTATGTTCCTATGTCTTTATCTTCCTAACCTTGCAATAGTTATACTAAAATACTCTGCCGTAATGTTGTACGATCTTTTGTTCTTTCGGGTATTTGAACTTCCAATCATGTAAGTGGAGCCATCAAACCTTAGTCATTAGGTTGATCCGAGTTTGTATTTGATACAAACAAATGTAATACTATGTATATAAAATCGACACGTAACTGCAATAACGTTTTACAACAGTATTAAGCGGCGTCATCTCCACACTCCGACACTTGATTTTGATATTCGATAGTTAACATTGTCTTGATCCAAATATTCGCTGCCTCGCGTATATACGCATGCTTCTTGATCCCGAGTGCATTCGTCAACATATCCGGTAGATGATGTTGTGTATCGATATAATCGATCTTCAAAACGTTTCTTGCTCAACCGATCGACGAATACCACGACACCTGTGTTGCCCGCCGAAACTTTCGGCAGACCAAACACATAGTTCAAACTCATGGACTGCCAGCACCCAGTGGGTAGCGGTAAGCTGGCCAGCGGCGTAGCCGCATTTGGAGAGGTATTCAGCCGTTGACACGTCTCACACGTGCGCACATAGGTGCTCGTCCATTTCCTGAATCCATTTTTGAGCTCACCTTTGACCTCATCGATCTCCCTGATTCTTTTTGCACGAACAATCATGCCATCTACACTTAGTTCAGCATAGATAAAACCTTACAGGGATTGCATGACATAAGCGCATTGCCCGCCTCTCCCGCAGTCATTACGGCTCCTTTTTGAAACATGGTGAATTGTTATGTCCCAGGCACTAGCTGATTATTGTTCCAGCCCGTAGATAGCTCTTTTTACTTGACATACACATCCGGGAGCATTGTCGACACCCAGCGGAAATTTCATACAAATGTTGTCTGTCATCACACTGTTGAGAAAAACAGTATTGACATCAAGTTAACCCAGTTGGTAGTCGCATTCGGCACATACTGCAAGTATCACTTAAATTCTTCATGCTGGCGACAGGGAACACGTCTTGAAGAAATGGATCCCATACGTTTGTTGTAAACTTTCGCGACAAGTCGTGTCATATAGCGCATACCAGTAACATTTGATCGCGCTTCGTGGCGAAGACCCATCGCGATCTAATCGTGCAACCGTTCTTGTCACTTGGTACTAGTATCCGTGGCTGGTTCTTCTCATGGGAGCAAGACTTAGTATCAATCGCTTCACGCCACTTCGCTACATCGTCGTTTGCTATTGTTTGATCAAAGTCAGTATCATCCCTACTTCTCACCTTAAACATAGCAACAGAATTGGCAATGAGTATGTTTCCGTTAATCATAGCACAATTCGATGTCGGCAAGTCATCATCTTTTTCTGATTCGTCTTCACTCATTTAGCGTATGCACCGGCTGAAATCTTTGTCTGGTTTGCTTCACATCTTGACAAAACACCAAACAATGTTCCTGGAGTGTTTAGAGGAACGGATTATGCTCTTCTAGCTTCAACCTACTTACAGTAGAACGCTCGAAAGCCATCAGCAACTGTATGCTAACACTTGGTGAATAATCAGCATCGCCCATTTCGACATCGCGTGACTTGCTCTCTAACAGTTACCATAGCTCATCTCTATTCGGCTGTCGATTAACATGGATTTGGACTCAAACATCATCACTGTTCTTTGTTAATTTGAGGTCGCTTCTATTTCCTGCCTGACCATCGCGATACACGATAAAGCATCTTTATTCGGGTGTCCCATGCGAGTATGCCAAAGCTCCCACTGAGTAACATCCCTGGGATACTCCATGTAACATGCTTCTTTCCGCTCGCAGTCGAGGATACACGCGTTACCGATTCTTGAACCCGATGTAGTCACCTTGTCGTTGTTTTCGATAACACTCAATAAACGCGAGAGCTTCACACTCAAACCGCATTTCGCAAGCTGGCCAGAGACAGCAATCTTCTGTCAAGTCCTGGGTTATATGAGACATCAGTCATGCGCATTACCTTTTCACCCAAACCAGTCCTTTACACAGTGCTGCTATTTCGACGAGGAACTTTTACCATCTATTGTTACTTCGATGCTAGTCCTAAGGTCCTTGTTTCGTCCTTGCTGTGCGGGGTCATGTGGGATGTGGCGCCACTACCCAGCTGATCGTCTTTTGCCCACTACAAACACTGCGTCATCACTGCTGATACATTTCCAGCTAGACAGATCCGATCCACATGACCAATCTGGTCATAATTTTAACAATCGCTGTTAAATCCGCCGATAATGCGTGACCGCGACGTGTCCGAACGCTGCATCGTCCACCTTTCAATTTTACAGCAGTTCTATTTACGCGGAACGCTTTCACCCAGGCGTCATATTTGTGTAGCATATCTAATTCCTCGAGCAGCTTCTACAAAAGAAGACGGATGCACATGAAAGACTCCCATTCTGGCCACGCCAGAGCAGAAGCTCTCCATAAAAACGGCCACTGCGACCGCCTCGGGGAAAGGATCTGCTGCCATCCCGGCAATGAGAGGTTTCAACTCTTGGACAAAGTCCACCAACTCCTTCTTGCCTTGTCGGGCAGCAAAAAACCCGACCTCACGCGATATGTATGATTAGGCGGCGAGGGCGATCGCAATAGCTGACGCTTCAGCTCCTTCCCGGAGAAAAACGCAGCTTCAACCGAAGCACCGCTCGTTAGTGCCCATTCTCGCGCTCGGACCCCGAGCTTAGAGATAGCTAGCGACATGCGCTGTTGCTCGTTTTGGAGCGTGGCGGATACCGTACCCTTCCCGGCCTCTCTTATCCGGAGCAGGAGATTCTCTCCGTCCTTGCCCTCAATGGTCTTAACGCTCACCATGAGCGGCCTGGGTCGGAAGGAATCATCCGTCGTCGACGGTGGCATCATAGACGCAGTGACATCTTCTGCTGTAAGTAAATAGAGCGATTTCATAACTTGAAAATGCCTCTAGGTGCACTATAATGGCCTCGGGCCCTTGCGCAACGAGGAGCTCCACGCTTTTAGGGCCCAGCGGAGACATCAGCGTTTTAAGCCCGTCCTGTATGCCCTGGGGTAAACAGGAGTATTGCTCCATCCTCATAGAGGATCAGTCGTAACGACTCAGGCGTACGAGTGCTACCAAGTGCACCGGGGCTGCCGTAGCTCGTTGCTTAGAGGAAGCTAAGCTAAGGGCGCCGACCTTACGTTTTCTCCAAGAACCAGTACAAGTGTAGCGGATCGCAATCCGCTACTTCTAAGAACTAAAGCCCTACCAAGACAAATGAGCACTTCTGCTCAATTTTGAAACTGTATTTAGTTGTTTTCATTGTACGACCGTACACCTATATATGCACGGTCGTACAATGAAAACAACTAATTACAGTTTATAGGTGTGTATTACACAGTGTAATAACGCAGTGATGTGGCTGGATTGCCAGTAGTAATGCATATTACTATATTAATTAGGTTTTGCTATATTGATTAGGTATACTATTTTAGTTAGGAGAACCTAGGGTTTTAGATATTGGCGGCTTCACACTCATGTACCATTTCCAATTGTTTAATGTAGATTTCCACATCCAGTTCTTCGTGCTATAGAGAATTAAACCGCCAAAATAGGAGTGTGCATTTACACGATGTGATCTGATCGGCTGTTTCATCGGACGATTCGCTAACACGTTGAACGGTCCATGTGCCATAATTTATCACACTCAATGAATCACACTCTTCACAGTAAGAATCATATGGCTGTCTATCATCATCAGTAGGAGATAAGCATGAGCTAAGGTTGATGGAATTGAGCAAAGTGCAGTCGATCATGCTTCTGCAGCACGTTTTACCATTTATCGGCATTTGCACCGGAGCCATGGCTGCATCAAATTACAGTGACCATCCATATTTAGCAAATCGTCGTTGACCTTTCTGACACAAAACGCCGGCGCTGAGTTTGTGCTTGGGTCGCTGATGAGTGTCGGGAAACGATTGCATGTACTTCCCATGATTACCAGACCCCAGCTACTCGACATAATTTGGAAGCCGCCGACACGAAAAAACGCGCTTCACCCAGCTTCATCTCGACCGTGCAACACCAGACGACACCTAGAGGTTTGTGTGATGTGCAAGCGTCTGCGAAAGATTCGTCTGCGTTTGTTAAGAATTTGCAGTATCCGTTGACCATGTGGCTGCTGCCAGTGCGCTCATGCTTCTCCTTCCTGCGAGAGGATCACCCGCAGAGCATCTACTGCATCTGCGAAGAATATTCCGCAAAAGAGACGGAGCGACATCTGTTCGTCGAATACGCATTACGCATATATATATGGCCAGTGGTGCTCTGTGACTGGTCCTCTCTGACATCGTGCTTGGACATCGACCCACACCTACTGACGCGTGGAAGGTATGCTCGCGTGCCGAGTGATCTACATCGGATCAGACGTGCGATCGTCCTTCGCTGTGGGCTGACCGTTTGCTACGACTGTCTGTTCAACACCGCGCGCCGTCTCCGTTGTTGCCGACGCTAAGGGTGGTCTACACGACCTTCAGCGCTCACGTGCGGGGTTTTATGCATCGAACCCAATCTGAGGCCAATTAAGCATCAATCAAGTGTGTGCCGAACCAGCTTTTGTGCTCTCGCTCGCTGAGTGAATACACACTAGCCCACCGCTCTTTGCAGTGAGGTTCCTCAAGTAACACAAGCAAGGCTGGCTTCACTCCCGGGCTTAATGGACTACTTGCAAAGTATCCTCCTGTAGGTAAACTGTATCACTGAAGGTCATTGTATCTTAGCAGCTCGCCGTCATATTCTTGGCAGATGGTACAAGAGTAATAGAGAGACTGAATCAGTCAAGTAATGGTCTTACATTAAAATATTTGACTTAAAATGGCCACACGTCAAATTCGAAAATTCGACAGTTCTTCAATCATGTCCCCGGCATTGTTGCGACATCAAAAGTCGCGCGTTCTGGTGGTTGGTGGAGGACCCGTGGGCTTAGTCACTGCTTTCTTGCTCCAAAAACTTTATAATGTGCCTACGCGCGTGGTGGAGCGCCAGCGCAATCCCACATTGCATCCACAAGCGCACTTTATCAACCTGCGGACGATGGAATTGCTTTACGCTACGATACCAAGCTTTCATGATCGTCTGCTAGCTAAAGCGGCACCTAGTTGTTTGGCAAGTTGACTTTGGATGGATTTGAAAATCTTCATCTCTCACTGACTGCTGAGCGATGTGGTGTGGTCAGTGGCGTGACTATGTTTACTGCACTGGAGTCGGCAAGGCTAGAGAAATTGCGCGTATTGATCAATTTGGTCCCTGTAAGTGACCTCAATCTACATAGCCTGACGAGAAAAGTGAGACAATTGCATTTTGTTAACAGGCATTCCGCGTACGAAAGGTGAAAATGCGGTCGGTAATGCTGGAATTCTTCGGCAGTCTCTGGCAGCGATATCACCCACACAATTTCTGCATTTTCCGCAAAACGATTTTGAAATGCTGCTGAATGAGTTTTTGAACGAAAACAATGTTTATGTAGAGCGTGGTGTTGAGCTTGATGATCTTAAATTGCCAATGGAAAGTTCTGCCACGCCAGAAGTGACGTTGCGCCACTTGTAAGCTGTATGGTGCATTGAAAAACGGCGTTGAGATTATTGAAGATTGCTTTGATATTGCTAGAGATACAAATACGCTCGAGAAGACGTCTTTTGATTACATTATCGGAGCGGATGGTGCACACAGCCTTGTCCGTCAACATTGTGGTATCGATTTAGTTGGAGCGCGCAATCTTCAATCTATTGCCAATATCCATTTTATGAGCAAGTCATTGTCCAAAGCTGCATGTGAAAATCCGGCTATGCTGTACTTTGTGGTAAAAACGCTTCATTATTCTTGCACTTGGCTTTTGTTGCAGTTCACTCGGTGATTTCTAAACTATGCTTTTTGGGTGTTATATAGTTCAACACTGATGTCATTGGTGTATTAATCGCGCACGATCTCAAAAAAGGTGAGTGGGTTTTTCAGATTCCATTCTTTCCTCCGCAGGAGTCGATGGCTTTGGATTTTTCACATACTAAATGCAAAACTATTATCCGTCACATCTTACCGTTAAACGTCACGGTCGGTGATGACGATATCACAATTCTGTCAGCTAGGCAGTGGCGAATGGAAGCTTGTGTGGCGAAGCAGTACGATGATGGCAACCAGCGTGTATTTCTTGTTGGTGATGCAGCACATCAATTCCCTCCTGCAGGTGGTTTCGGCATGAATACAGGACTACAGGATGCTCATAATCTGGCCTGGAAGCTTGCTCTGGCGATTCAGTTGAACACTGAAAACTTTGCTGCCGACCATAACAGCATATCTCCGTCGATTTTATTGAAATCGTACGGCCTTGAGCGTCAGCTGATTGCCAGGATCAACACCCAGCTTAGTCTAAGAAATGTTGCTAGGACTATGAAAATTCCACGTGCGCTTAACGTAGCGCACGACAATGCACTGACTGTGGCAAAAGTCATAAACTCAGCGCCAATGCAGCTTCTTCCGCTGCAATTTCAGCGTGCGATTGCGCAGCAAATTATGCGGGTAGGAAAAATGCCTTTGAGCGTTTTAGATGAAGTTAAGGATGCCGGTGTAGTGGGCAGTACATTGGGCAATCTTATGCGTACCAATGTGCGGGATATTGTCTCACGCCGTCACGGTTTAGGCATGGTATTTTACCACTTTGACATTGGGTTTTCGTATGACGCGCCCTTATGGTCATCTCAGGCTAAAATTCTCATGGAAGATCAAGCACTAAACAAATCTGCGAAATTTTGCTCTAAAGTATGTGATGACGACGGTATCATCTACTCGCCAAAATTTCGTGTTGGAGAACGATTTCCTCATTTCTGGTGCATGAGTGAGTCCAAAAAAGTTTCCTCTCATGACATGATGCGCCTTGCTGGTCGAAATGGAAAGTCTGGTGGAAGTGTTGTGCAGTTTCTCTTAGTTGTTGGTGGAGACGATGCGGCTAAGGTTATACATTCCTGTATGTTCCCTGCTTCATTAGCAGTAAGCAAGCACGTGTCTCTTGTTGTGCTGCATCCAAGTGCTGCCACCAGATTGGCAGAGGTGGATGCTTCCATTAAAAAGGCTCAGAGAGCCTCAATATTTAATGCTGTTTTATCGTGGCACACATTGGAAGATGAGAGCGACAACAAGGCGACGCCGGCTTTTATGGACTGCAAAGCTATCGTTCTATTGCGTCCTGACGGTCATGTTGGTGCAATGTGGAAAGGTGAGGCGCTCAACGAATTTTCTAGTGCATCTCTCACGCACTCGATGCAGCGAGCTGTACAGCTAAGCTGAATATTAGATTATTGTGCATTGGAACAAAAGCTAGAATAAAAAAGTGCATGTCTTCCATTGATCAATAAAATGATGTTATCTATACGATAGTTTCTGACTCTGACAAAATTGATGACGAGTCGCAGAGCGGCTGAAGTTGCCGCGAGTTTCGCCGCATCTCTTGTCGAGAAACGCAGTTCGCATGTTCGTTTGTACTACTAACCATACCGATAGTTTCATGTGTTACGATTGACTCTCGCTCATTTAGGTCGGCACTCAACCTTTTTTTAAAATGCCTCGCGTTCGAGATGTACGATGGTGTTGGAGTAGTGACATCTTTTGTGGGCAAATGATGTGCAAGTTGCCTCACGTCGGCTAATACATTAGCGGGTGCTTTAAGAGTGTACAGCGCCGTACTGATAGTGACAAGCACCATTGCAACTAGCGCGTTGTTACAAAATGGTTTACCGTTAAAAAACGTTTCGAGCCATGCCGTCAGCCCCATGCCTCCAACAACAGCAAAATTCTTCTCCACATTGCCACAATCTCGGATCACAAATCCCACCAGCACCCCTCCAAGTGCTTGACACATGAGTGCGCCAAGTGTCATAACGCTCCAGCCGTCCCACATGCTATCTTGCGAGTCTGCGTTCCCTCGACTTGTTAAAAGTCTATCCTGCACAAAAGCCAACGCCAAAAGCGTAACTTCGCCCAGCACACTAAGCTCCACTGTCACCATATATTGGTTGCGCTTCTCTTTCTGCAAAGCTTTTTGTATAATGCAACCGGCCAGAGCTGACAACACGGCTCCTAATAACGCCTGGTACATCCCTGTCCACACGTCAGAATCCGTCTTCCTCTGCATTGCATTGTGAGTAGCTCTTGATGACGCCGTCATTAATACTGCAGCGACACAGAGAAGTGCTAGGGCCACGAGTTGCAGCGGAGACTGGCGTATTCCCAAAAGCAGATACACAAGTAATGCCGTCCAGATGATTTTGGTTTGGTTAAGCACGTTAAACGTCACGCCATCAAGCGTCACTACAGCTGCATGATTTAGCAAATTTTGCAGCAAATAGATGAGTGCAGGTAATACTGTTGTGGAAAATGCGGTGCGCCACCTCCAAGTCTTGAGCTGGTTCGAAATGCCAGCTTCCCCACGCCCAAGACTTAGCAGCGCCAGTGTCAACAGCAGTTTTAACACCTCCACTACTCCAACACGTAAACGAACGTCGTGCGCACTGGTCGCGTACCACCCCATAAGCAGCGGTTGCACCCCCACTTGAAGGGCCAACAGCATCAGCAGTGACACCTGATAAGCTGTTGACACCATGACTGGCACGAATGCCTGGTGAAAATCGGTCTCGAAGTGTCAACGCGGTCATCATATATACAATAAAATGTTGACATGGTTGCAATTTAGGGGCCCCATGTGGTTTTATGTTCAGTCAGCGTATAGAATGTTAGGCATTTGGTAACAATTTATGTTTATGCATACCTAATACCTTAGCAAGAAAGATAATGTTACAATATAAGAAAATACAGATCGACAATAAATTTGTTTCGACCGACTAGCTAACGCTGATTGGCTAGTACGCTCATGAGTACCTATTGAACAGCATTCCTCGTGCTTGACAGCATGCCACGATTTCAGCGCGTAGGAGCACAATTTATTGTCTTTGTAGCATTCGAAGTTTCCCAGTATGCAGCAGACGTCTCCACTCAATCTTCACCGGATCCAAGCGTCATGCCTTTTCAATCGGTGGATGCTGGTAGTGTAAGTGCAGGCTGCGTCCTCTGTCGAGACAGCGGCAACTGCTCCATCGCCATGAACAACACGTCATCTGGAGTATTTTGTGGAGATCTCCTCTATTCTACAGATACACAGCCGTGTTGTTGTCCATACTTTATTGATTGCCGTGTCACTAGCAAGTCGTCCTCTTGCGATTGCGGGTTCACCATGCGTCATGAGAGACTCTCGGCTGCAGAATCACCATTCGAATCGACACAAGAAGTTTTCGAGAACAAAAACCCAGAGCTGAACGATCCAGTGATAGAAGAAATGTCAATTTCGACCGAGATTCTAATCCATATATCAGCGTATCTTGCTTTTTTTGTCTTTGCGATGTACGTGGATCAGTGGGTGGAGTGCTGTAGTGATTTCAGGCGTAACCAAATGGTATCATACAGTGAGGATGTCAATTTGAAATTGCTGCGCTTGCGCCAGCGCTTTAGCATGCAACGTTGCAACCCTCAGTCATCTACGGGGACTGGTGATGATCTGCCGCTTCTGGAATCAGAATCCTCAGCTACGATTCCAAAATAAATTTCCATTCGAGACTTCGCTGACAATTTTACCAGTTCTGTGAAGGTTACTGTGAGCACTATTTCAGCTGATACAATTCAAGAAGTTTCACTCTCGCCCTCATTAGTGATAGAACAAAGTTTGCCAGACTAATTGTATTGTAACATTATGTTCGTGCTAACTAAACTATCATCACGTCTACAGAATATATACAACGTTCCTACCTTGCTGACCTAACCAATTTTTATATCTAGCTTCAACCTTCGTGCCTCTCATAACTTCTTGGGCCTCGATTAAGTTGACAGTTACAACGAAGTCAGAATACTGTGTTGATTATTCAAATACCGATTGTGGTAGATGTCGTTATCAGCTTCAAAGTCTTCCCGGGTGACTTCAGCTGCAGTTACAAACGACTCACAATTGAATCTACGATCTTCAAAATCGTATTCCTGACACTCTCCTCGCCTCTCAGTCTCACGACCGATGGTCGTGAGACTGAGCAATCCCCAAGCAATCAGGGAGAGTCCCACGAACAAACAGAAGCGCGTTCATCACCTGTTTTTCCCTAACGCCTTCGAAGAATTCGCACGATTCCAACTAAATTGTAGTCATACATTCATTGCGGTACGAGCAGCAGCAAGGCTGAATTGTGCTTTGGATGTCTCAGCAGTACACACCGGGAGATTGGTTGTACACGGCCAGCGAACAGTTTTCATTGTTGCGGCAAGCTGTATGGCCTAACGTGCTCAGTATAAGATGTTGCTTTGTACCTCTTCGTGCTTAATTTAGATTATCTCGAAATTGTTCAGCCTGTTTTTTATATTTATATTGCAAGCGGAGCGACCGGGCTCCTCACTAAAGGATAAAGCTCTTATAGGGCTGAAAAAAACACATTTTGCGGAAATAAGTACACGGAAGTGTAAGACGGTAAGCTCACCTTAAAAATGTATGGTATCACGGTAAGTATCAGAGGAGGAGCTGGTCTTGTCATCTAAAATGGATGAATCTGTTATTGAGAGCACTTGAAGCAGCTGAAAGTGTGGAGTGAGACAGATACTGTAACGGGGTTACACGAACTCTCGTGAGAAAGGTGGGCCGCACGGCTATATCGACAAATCTGTTGTTGGCACGGGCATGAACCCAGGAGAGCAGTGCCCGGGTATATGCACCAAAATATGCTGTTTACCCATATAAACAAATGTGTCTTCGCACCGATAATGTCCTTTCTCGGTTGCTTTCAAGGTAAAATCGCCTCTGCGAATATAGAGGCCGTCGAAAATCGGCCAGTGCGTATGTTCCGATTTTGTTTTGATAAAGTGGCTTGAAAAGCTGTTTCCTAGCCAAAGTACAGCGCAAACTGTGCCAACATGACTCGACCCATAAAATGTTCTTCATTATAGGAGGAGACGGCCTCAAGTCTGTTAAAGAAAGCCTCATGCGAGCCTTGAATTCGGCTCTTTTAAACTCAGATCGACCATTTCGCATTGTCCAGCTGAAAGCTGCTGGGAAAAACTACCTAACTTCATCATGACAAGTAGCAATAGCAATAAAGCTCAAAATCAAAGCGAAGTTGCTTAGCCCCAGGCAGAATTTGGTATATAAAGGTCATGCATCGTTGCGCACCTCCGTCGCCAACAAATCGGTAGATCTCTAAATACCCCGCTGTAATACCTCCTCAACAAAGGGTTTAGTAAATCCGACGGGTTCTTGGGAATGACTGCTCCCCTCCTCGACTGAGCTCGTAGCGAGTGCTCTCGGTAGACTTGCGGTATCGCAGCTCTGGCCCTCTAGATACTCCTAGTGTGGTAGCACTCATCATGAATCTCAAGTACATGATACTGTACATGTACATGATATTGTTTGGGAGGGGCAGAAATAAACTGGCTTTTCGGGAGTCCTATGTGTGTATATGAGCGTAAGTACGCATGTGCGTACGTGCTAACATTTCAACGGATCGCACCCTCGCCGCATGCGCAGCGCGTATGGCCATTCTGCCAGATTCGGCAGAAGCTAGTAGTATAATATATGTTATTTCTAGAGCCGCGTCTAGTTCTACGGAGTCAAAGGTCTTCGAAACAAGACTGCTAATCTTTCTGCCATTAATGATAAAATGACCGGCTAGAATACAACCAAGCTTTTCTTCAGCAATGGCGACTGGCTTGGGCACCAGACACCACATCAGAAATTTTGCAAATGCTGTTTATGATGCTAAATACCAGATGGACATATCAGCTACCGATCAAACGTTTAGATAAAAAGCGGAAATCGCTTCGTGGGTGGGCTTCACTCTCAACGCGCTTGCGTGAAGAAAGCGCGGTGCTGGAGCAAGTCGGTATCACTCATTGAGCTTGAGCTGAATTTCGCAAGGCATAACTCCGCAGAATCTCCCCCCATTCTTTATAATTCTTTTGTTTGCGTCAATTCTACGTGAAAGGCCATCGGTCTAAACGGAGGGGAAGCTACCGATCCAATTTTCATAAACAGCCCTGCTACATTTCGTTGCGAAATCTAAGAGATGAACAACACGCGCTGAATGCGCGACGCTAAGGCTCAAAGTCAGGACGTTTCGAAGTAACATCACTATGTTCAAGGCAGGGAAATACATACGAATATCTGATGGAAATAATATTTAAAAGCACCATTAATCTTCCAGCTCATATACATGGTTTTTTATATAGAAACTGTGTTGCAGACGATACTTCAAACCGTTTATGGTCGTAGTGGAATGCGATCGAGTTTCACTCTAAACGTCACATAGAGATTTCCAGCACATACTGTGGCTTATTAAATCCGTATCATAAGGATTTCTAACGACTAATCGAAATTGAAGGCTTTGTTGAAGTCGGCGCAGCGTTTCTATCATCCACTCAAGCTGGGCTTTTCTCTAGCTTTTACAGCAGCAACACGGTCGGCTTACCTGAAATTATCCGGGACAACGCAATATAAGGATTTTCTCAATAGGCGCATCCATGATGTATCTCATAACATGTTCAATGGACGCATCAAAAGAAAGTCAAAGAGTGTTGACTAGCCGCCATTACCGAGAGATTCCGCAAAAGCCAGGCACAGGAGGGTCGATCACTACTTGATGAGCAAGCTATGATCCACTATCATGTGAGTGATTAGTGGGCCATCGGGTACATTAAAGCTGTTATCAGTATCTGATGTTTTTATTCATATCAAAAGTCTTCTTCTGTTGTTGGGCCCGCCTCCGACCTGACATACCCTATGTGATTACACCTTTTGAAGAGAGGGCAGAATTGTGCGTTGCAGCGCACTTCCAACTACCGCGTAGGGACCAACTTTGTGGTGAATTTGTCACTTGATCAATAGCTGTGATAGCGGCCTTATATAGACGAGCTGGGTAGAAAAGATGAGGAATTGTAATTAATGGGTTTATACGTTGATGTCGCGTCATGCATTGTACTCTGCAAAACTTGAGGACGAAACGAAGCTATTAACAACATCCGCCCTGGTGAAGCTGACTTTGAAATTGGATAGACATGCGAGACGGCTCTATTTTCTCACCCAGTGCGTAAATAGATTTTGATACTCATTGGCGCTCACGCTAGCTTCAACTTTCCAAGGTACAATCCTCATGAATATAGCAAATTTTTCGCCCAAATACTCTATGCATAGGCGAGTATAAGAAGCGATGGCTGAAAGCCGATAAACAGGCAACATTGCCACTTTTTGCACTTGGTGTGAGGGAGAAGACCACACGAAATGGGGTGTGAGGGCTCCATACTAGCAATTTAGAAGATTTGAATTTGCGATAGCGTCAAAGGCTTTAGACTATACGGCAAGCTGGGTTTTGTGAACCAGATCCGGCTCTCTAACGGTCAGCTGGGCATCATGGGATCTCCACAGCATGGAGTCCGCCGTTTCAAAAGGGCGCAGCTTACGACAATTTTGCGACGAGGAGTCTGAGCATCGTTTTCGAAATCGCACGACCGCGCGTCACCGAGTGTGAGCGGAAATGTTTGATCAGCATCTTAGTCACTACGACCGTCTTTGAGGAGGACACCCTGGAATCCTCACCGAGACTTTCTGTGAGCGTGTCGGTCGCGAAGGCCACGTCTAATGTAAGGGCTCGTTCAGTCCATTGCTGACGAGCCGGCACGATAAAGCACAAAAGGGCCAGCTTTGACTTCCAGGCGCAATAGTTGCTCGTTGAGGGATCAAATTTGAGTAAGTTCTAAAGTACAAAACAAGGGGACGCCATAGTGCGGTCCACGCCTTGGTGGAGGAGAGTGCAACGCAGTGCGTGTAAACGTCCGCGTTTCGCTATTGTATAATGCGAAATATGGTATTCAGCGACAACGACCCAGTGTCTGCAGCGGGGCTACT